GCCCCTGTTCGTGGGGGTGGGGGTCTGAGCTTCCCACAAACAAAGGCTGCTCCATGGCAAGGGCTGCCATGGAACAGCCTCTGTCTGTGGAGGGCTCAGAGATAGCAGCGCAGGGCGGCAGGCACCTGGTATGCGCAAGGAGCTGGTTTTTAAAATCGGCTCCCCTCACGGACCAGCTCCGACTTGCCACCTCACGCTGCTGCCTCTGATACACAGGCAGCAGCATGGGGTGGCAGGGGACTCCCTAGGAGTGGAGCTGGCAGTACACTGGCTGCTGGCCCCACCCCCTAGGACTATCAAATAGTCGTATAACTGCTCAATTACACAATATGTAGTATCCCTACTCCTAATTACTCCAGGAGACCATATGTCCTTGATTCCCTGGTGCTACTCCATGCCTGCCTGAGATTCTGGGGCTGCACTAACCTCTTCCTGGTGGAAAGGTCGGGAGTGGGCCTCTGGCCTGCCCTTGGGCTTCTCTTCTCCCTGCCTCCTCCAGGCTTCACCCCTTGTTCAGGTCTGGCTTCTTTCTGGCCTGGCTATCAATAAGAGTTACTCAATAAGAGTTACTCAGGTAGCCCTGGACCCTACACCTGTCCTGGATAGCAGGCCAGTGTTGCCTGGGAGCAGCTTTTAAACCATACATTTGCCCCATGGGGCACACTGCCAAGGGCAGGTGAAGAGTACAGGCTCTCTAGGTGGCTCTTAATACTGCCAGGCTCTGACTTTGCCTGGGGGCAGAGAAACAGAGGAAGGCAGGTCTTCTGCACCTATCCTACTTTTGCCTTTTGAAAAGGTGGTCACTCTAGCATGCTGGCATACCACCAGTTATGTCACTGTAGTGGTATAATTATTCTGGTATAGTTCTGTCAATACAAAAAGTAGCAGCAGACAGTTTACTTTTGCTTAGACCAGGGCTACTCAACACTCGGCCCATTTGTTTGCAGCCCACGGTGCGGTTTGGGTTGACGCGGTGTCAACACACAGTCCGCGGGTGGGAGCTAAAACAAAAAAGTCGTCAATAGAATGGTCTTCTGTTGAATGCATTTTAGTAGTTAAATTCCTGGATTGTCATTGCTTGTTAAAAATGCTGTCATATGGGTGGAAATCAGGTACATATTGCATTTTATTAATATCAGCAGAACTGACTTAAATGGGGCCTGTGTGTTGTGCAGTCTTGCCTTAATCTTTGTATTTATGTGTGTCAGTGTGAATGAAGCTGTTTACATGTACGTGCAGCCACACTTAAGTTGCGGCCCTCGGCATGTGCTGTATTATTGTGGCCCCCGGGGTTTCCAAAGTTGAATAGCCCTGGCTTAGACAATCTTCAAGTTAGAGTTTGGAGGTGATATTATTTGTTCCATATAAAAATGAAGAACTCAGAACATTTACCACACACATAAATTGAAAAAGGGCTATTCTTCCTAAAAAGCCAAATCTGGAGCCCAGGGGTATGGGAGTCTTCCCATTAATGTTAGAGGGATTTGGATCAGGCCCAAAATGACCTATTACCAGTCTCCAATTTGGAACTTCAAGAATTACATTTGAAGTCTCATTTAATGGTGGTTATGAAATAAGCATTGGAAGAACAGGTATTCTATTCCAAGTCATGTTTTTAATTGCAATGACACTCAAGGGGTTTGTATTTGCATATCTATTTTAGTTCCTCTTAAGTAGAGGAATAAATGCCTTTTACAGTAGTATACATTTAAAATAATTTATTTGGATGAGGTCTGAGCACAATACAGCAGAGCCTATCTGGAGAAAAGAAGGTCTTTTTGTGCACAAAATAGTGTTACTGGTTAAAAAGTTACTAAACTAAAGCAGAATCTTATTTCACAACATGCTGGTGTTCCAACACCACAGAAAGTTGCTTTTTGCAATGTAACATTGTTTCAGATGCACAGTTCTAATTTTCTCTAGAGGTTTCCATAAATGCTAATTAATCTATACTATTTAATCTACTTAAACTTCATCTTTAGTTAACTTTTGTCAGCTCCATATAAAACATGGATTCTCAAACTTCACTGCACCACAACCTCCTTCTGATAACAAAAATTACTACATGGCCCCACAAAGGGGGACTGAAACCAGAGCCCCACCACTTTGGGGGGGGTGTCTAAACTACAGGATTTTTTAGGAAAAAAAGTGGCCTTTTTTCAAAAAAACTTCCCCTGCGTCTATACTGCTTCCACGTTCTTTCAAAAATAAATCGAAAGAACGCAGCGGTTTTTTTCAACCGCGGAAAACCTCATTTTATGAGGAATAGCACTTTTTTCAAAAGTGCTCTTTTGAAAAAAGGCGCTATGTAATGCAAACTGTGCTTTTTCGAAAGAGCATCCAGACTGCCTGGGTGCTCTCTTTCAAAAAAAAAAAAGCAGCTAGCTTTTTCGAAGCTACTGGTTGTAGTCTAGACGCTGTTTTTCGAAAGGGGCTTTTTCGAAAGTATCTTTCGAAAAAGCCTCTTTCGAAAGAGGCTTGTAGTCTAGACATAGCCTGGGTGGGGAAGCAAAGGCTCAAGCCCCACCACTCCAGGCAGAGGGACCAAAAGCATAAGCCTGAAAGCTTCTGACCCAGGCAGGGGATCTGTAATCTTATCCCTGCTACCTACTGCTAAAGCCACTCTGCTTTGGCCCCAGGTGGTGGGACTTGGGCTTCAGCTTTGGCCCCAGGCCCTAGCCAGTTGAACCCTTGCTCTGGTGACCAGGTCATGACCCACAGTTTGAGAACCACTAATATAAACACTCTCTTGTGGCTGAAAGGCAAGCTGTAGACTGCTCACCATTTGTTTGTTTGGAGGTTAAAGGTCAAGTAAAGCAGTGGTCACTAACCAGTAGATCAGGATCTACTGGTAGATCTTGGAGCCTCTAACAGGGGATCCTGGCTGGTTTGGCTAAGAGGCTATCAAGTACCAGCACTTCAACCACCTCCCCACGCACTGCCCTGCTGCTCCTGCCCAGAGCCGCCCCTGGGAGCCTCCTGCTTCTTGTACAGAGTTGAGGGGACAGAGGCAGGAGAGTGTTGATGTCATTCTGTCCCCCTCTCCTGTACCCCATCTTCACATAGTGAGGAGGCCGGGGCCTTGGTGAAGGGGTGAAGCAGGGGCAGGGCCTTGGAGAAGGGGCAGGGCAAGGATATTTGGGTCTGAGGTAGATCCTGGACTGAGAAATTCAAAAAATTAATCTTGTGCTTAAAAAGGTTGGAGACCACTGAAATAAAGCCTTCTATTTAAATAAAGTTTTTTAAGAGAGGAGGATTCTTGTTAGAGTTTGCTGAAAGGCAACATAAGCATTCATTCATTCGTCCATGACTTTTGTCATAGCAAATGAAAGTTCTTTATATCTATCCATACCCTCTTGTTCTAGAGCTGACCAGAGCTTACCAGTTCACTTAAGTCTACACCTCAAGAAACAATAATTGGCATCTGTGTCAAGAGGCTCACAGACAATGAGACATGCAAGCAAGACAACATGTGTTTGAGACCACACATTGCCACCACACTGCCTGTGTTTATTTCATTTCATCTCAGTGACAGAGGGAGAAACAAAGGATGATTACACATTATTATAAAGCTTGTAGAACTAATCTAAATGCCCACTCAGATTAGTAAATTCATGTTTTCTAACTCATCCATGCAACTGTTCCAACAAAACATCTGTGCTGTGTTCACACATTCACTTTTTTAAATAACACAATTGCGTGTGAAGCAAGGTTGTGTATCCCCTTACCAAGCTGACTGATTGCATTTCCATCATTACAACTCAGAATATCTGGGCAGGTATTATATAATGCCGCAGCAGTGGCTATTGTACGTGAAAGACACACACACAATATAGTATTTACAACACAGGGGCAACAGACTTTGAGGTGCCTTGCCACACAGAGTTGGGAGGAGGAAACACTGGCTAAACTAGTTACACAGGCAGTAGGGAAATGTAAAAAAATTCCAGATTGAAATGTGATGTAGCTGAATCAGTATTATCAACAGTGAAAACTCTAATGTAGACTAAGCAGTTTCTTTTTTAAAGCCACTGTATCATGTAGCTCTTAAAGCACAGCTTGACTGTCAAGTTACCTGCATCCAACAGGCAGAGCTCTGGGAAAGGCTAGATGACATTGTTAAATATAGCAATGTCCAACATACACTACAGCTTAATACTGCAGCAGCTACCTCACTGCTGGAAAACTGGTACAGAATTTCCTTACATACATAATAGCCCAATCCAAACAGCAAAATAACAGTGTTGCACACTGGCAAATAAGAATATAGGCCAGCCAAGTCCTCTAGGGGTGTGTCTAGACTACAAGGTTTTTTCGGGAAAAAAAATTGCCTTTTTTTCAAAAAAAAAAATCCCCTAAATCTACAGTGCTGCCACATTCTTTTGAAACTAAATCGAAAGAATGCGGTAGTTTTTTCGACCATGAAAACCTCGTTTTACGAGGAATAACGCTTTTTATCGAAAATGCTCTTTCGAAAAAAGGCGCTATGTAATGCAAACTGTGCTTTTTCGAAAGAGAGCATCCAGACTGCCTGGGTGCTCGCTTTCGAAAAAGCGGCTTGCTTTTTCAAAAGTACTGGTTGTACTCTAGATGCTCTTTTTCGAAAGAGGCTTGCAGTCTAGATGTAGCCTAGGAGTGTAAATAGTCAGCTGCCATGGTTACTGAGTATTAACTATGTTATATGTTGACAAAAAACATTTAATATATGCAACATGGCTAGCACAAACTGGTTACACGCTCACTATGAAATATAGCATAAACAGGGCCTAAGCATACACTGAACAAAACCACCCACACTGTTGGACTATGTCATGTGTTATCAGTTAGTAAATTTCCAGTATCTAGTTTTTAGGTGAAAGAGAGAGATTAATCCAGACCCAAGAATGGAAATACTAGTAAAAGCTTAAGTCACTACAGTAAATTACATGTTTCACTTTTGTAAAGTGAAAAAGTATTATTACACTGATGTACTAGTTCAGACAGTAGCAGTTTATACATACCAAATATCGGTGATTGGGCTGTGCAGTATGGCATAGTTTCTTCATTAGGAGCTCTGGTGAACAAACTGAGGTTTGTATACACATCCTGTGTTTTTGAGTAATCCCAGGGTTGAGGTGCTTCTAAAAATCCCCGAAAGACACTGGATGCACCTCCTCGGTACAAAATCAGAATAAATATTGCTTGAAATACAGCTAGGAAGAGCAGAAAACAAGGATTTTCAACACGAGAAAGGGACATGGTTTTAGGCCATCCACTGGAGCTAATTTTGTTGAGAGTTTAATTCTGCAGAACAACCTCACATTTTTACTTTAGGGCTACATTTGCTTATGTAAGAATGCTTGTCCTCTTCAAAGAGCTCGTCAAAACAATTAATGTCTTTTGACCACGCTGCATGTTTTGAGCATGGTTTTGTTATATGTAGTCCTAACTGCTAAACTTCAGCGATCTTCTGTGCATTGCTCTTCATTCCTCGTGGACATTCAATCTGCACAGCTAATTAAAGAGAAAAGACAACTTGTTACAGTAATTTCAGCCAAAGGACGCTTGCCAGTTTTCCTGCTAATTACCCCTGACAGTGGTACACTAGGGAGGCTGGGTCTGTCTCTCAGTAACCCCTTTGTTGCCATTTCACACGTGCCCGCACAGCAGGGGAAGGTCCTCTTTTAGGGGCTGAGAGCTGCAGGAAGCCAGCCAGGACCCTGCGCGAGAGGAGTTCGAGCTGCTCCCCCTCAGCTGCCCGTGTGGACACTCGGATTCCTTCAGAACGCTGCCGGGGTTCACTCCGGATCCAACTCCAGAACGAAGTGGGGCGCAGCCGCCGAAATCGGAGCGTCCACACGGGCAGCCCCTACGTGAGGAGACTGCCTCAGGTCAGAGGGGAGCGGGAACAGTGGGGGGAGGGGAAGGGATACGCTTCCCCAAACTAGGGGCGGGCACCGTCGGAGCGGCCTGCGAGGCCTTGGGGCAGCCCCCCCCAGCACCGATTTACGGGAGGGGCAGAGCGATCCCCCCTCCCGACAGCGGCAGGGACCGGTCTGCGAAGGGCCTTTTCCCTTCTCCCCTCGCCGCCCGAGCGAACCCAGGCGTCCGGCGCGCGGGGGCGGGGACTCGCAGCGCCTCAGAAAGCCCCTCACCTGCCTGAGGCGACGCCACTCGTGGCGCCCCGCCCCCTCCCTGAAAAGCCGCCCTCGCCCCTCCTCCTCCTCGCACCTTTCATTTGCATAACATGGGCCCAATTTACGCCGCCTCAAACGCGATGCGGGACCACAAGGCCCAGCATGCAACGCAGCTCTTCGGGGACTACAGCTCCCAGCATGCAACACGAGCGCGGAGGGGAGTGGGGGGGGGTTAAATGCCTAGCATACGCCGAAGTTGCTCTCCTGTGCAGCGTTGCATGCTGGGATGGGAGCTCTGGCCTGTGAGGTGTTCTCCCTCTTCCTCTCTCCAGCTGGGAAGAAGGCCAGAGTAACACTTGGCTACAGGTGTGGGCTGGCTGTGTCTTTCAGGCCCCATCCATCCCCTCCTAAGCCTATCACACTGGGGCAACCCCATCCCAGGCTGAAAGGCACCCAGTACCACTTGTACAGGATTGCCAGCTACTATGATGAGACTCCCATTTCCACCCCCAAGAGGGCTGTGGTGGGGAATGGACCCAAGGTTGGATGCTCTAACCCTGCGCTGAGCAGATGGCGTATATCGCTGAGCTGTCATGAGAATACCAATCCTGAGCATTTGAAAGAGTCAGGCCCCCAAAAATTGTGAGCCTGGTTGAACCCAGGTGCTGGAACAATTTTCATACTATGGGTGTTGATGATGGATACAATGGAAATAATGTATTTAGTGTTTGTTATTAATACTTTAAGCCAACAGGGTGTGTGATAGCACTCCCTCCTGCCAGCACTCTTGGGCAGAACTAGAGATGTAAATAGTTAACTGGTTAATCAGTAAGCCTCACTATTAATGAGTGAAGCTTACTGGTTCTAGTTAACTAGTAGGGGCTGGAGCAGCTCTCTGCCTGCCCTGGACAGGGGACTGCTCCAGTCCCGTGGGACTCACTGCAGGCAGGGGCTGCTCCAGCTGGCCCACAGCATGTATAACCATGTAACCACTAGGATGTTTAGCAGTTTAAACAACTTTTTACATCCCTAGGTAGAATATAAGGTTTAGATTTTTTATATTTATCTTCTGGGTTTGGAGTTATTGGAGTGCTTCATGTTTTCATACTTACAGCTGTGATCATGAGAGCTAAAAATTTACTGAAAAAAAGCTATCACGTAATCACAAGACTCCTGCAGCTGCAGTTTTAAGAAAAACACAAAATATCACCAACTCCGTGAGTGCTCTTGGGGTTGGAGGTTGCTTGATGTTCCCCTTTTCACATACCCTAGATTGCATTAGCCCTTTTAGCTTCAGTACTGCACTGAAAACTCATGTTGAGTGGTTATCTGTGATGACCCTTAAATCCTCCTCTGAGTCACTGCTTTCCACCACAGTGATCCAAAACAGGTGGAATTGGGATTTTCCTGCCTGTGAATTCCGCTCCCCCTGCTAATAACTTATATTTTCCTGTGTCACATCTTGTTTTGTGGTCAATAAAACAAAAATACATTCACTGTTCTCATGAAGTCCCAGATAATTGTAATTTCAGCTCTCCGATTCTTCATATTGTGGATCTTGGAAGAAATTCAAATCTGTGCCCGTTCTGTACCCAGCCTATAGACTCTATTGGCCTATGCCTCCTCTGTCGTTGGGCTGCTATAACTACTGGGTCAGGACCTTGGGGGGACAAGGGGTGTGCAGATTAAAGCAGACTTGAGGACTGTCCAAACTTGTGCTTTGGCTGCAATGGTCCTCAAGGTATTGGGTCACAGCAGAATAGCTAATACTGTATATAGAAACCTTCTAGCCATGCCCTCTCCTCCACACACACACTCTTGGAAGGAACCTTGGTGGACCAATCTGTAATCCACTCTGGTTCCACAGCCTGCTAGGGATATTAGCTGATGGCTTTTTCATGGATCTATGAGCATAGGCATGTTCTTCCTGTGGTTCAGGAATTCCTCTTAGACCAGACCCTTTCAAGATGTCTGCGAGACCCTGGCACACATATAAGTTAGAGTGCATCAGGCTGCAGTCTGGCTCCTCCAGAACCTCAGTCCTATTTCAAAAGCATATGGTGATGAGCAAATACCCGCCCTAGAGTATGATGGGTAGTGTCCTGTTGCCTCAGTTTCAGCCCTTCTGGAGTGAAAGTCTGATGACAAATGTTCAATATGCTGCTGCCCCTCCCCTGCCTCCCCCCTCCCCCCCAGCTATGTCTGCACTACAACAGAGGTTTTTTTCCGAAAAACAGCCATTTTTCCGAAAAAAAAAAGCTTCACTTACATCCACACTGCAATCGCGTTCTTTTGAAAGAAAATTGAAAGAACAGAGGGGTTTTTCCAACATTGTTAATCCTCTTTCTGAACATTGTTAATCTCTTTTTCTGAAAGAGATCTTTTGGAAAAAGGCGTGTGTGGACGGGGAAGAGGGAGTTCTTTCGAAAAAAGAGGAAAAAGCACAGGTGCCCTGGTGGCCACTCCGTCCATAGTAATCACAGTTTAAATGCGAGTGTGGACGCTATCTTTCGAAAAAGCCAATTGCAGTGTCGACGCACTCATTTCGAAGAAGTTTTCTCAGACGATCTCTTCTGGAAAAGTTTCTTCCAAAAGAAGCCTGCAGTCTAGATGTAGCCTCAGAGTTGCTGTCCGGGGTGAGCAAAGACCCAGAGGTGCAGTCAGATGAATTCACCTCCCACCCCATGAAGAAAAGCATCAAGCAATGCCTCAGCTGCTGTGCTGCCATTGCTACGGTGCTGTTCCCACTGCTGCCACCACTGGCTACTGCACCATTATTCACTTGGTTGCTGTTGTCCCGTTGCCACCACACTCTGTTCTGGCTGTCTCTATGCTGCAACGGTGCAGGCTGAGGTTCCACTGCATAATCCAGCTCCCCATGATTTCGGAGAGTAGTGGTGAACCTCACGGTGAGTGCAGGCTGTGCCACCTCTTACACTGACCCACAGCGTATTTAAGGCTCAGCAGCAGGTTATCAGTGATTTCAGCTGTAGTGATCACTGAACAAAAGGAGGACACTCAATTGAGCCTAATCAGTCGAAAGAGAAAGGCCAAATTGTTTCTTGGACAATTTGGAAAAAACATACACCATCACGTAGGGAAGGAGAGAGATGTTCCTATCTCCTGCTTAGCAAATGAGGGTCAGATTAGGCTAAATGCTGCTGCCCTTAGCTCAGACAATAAGTATGACAACACAGAAGTGATTTTCTATCCAGCACTATCCAAAATTGATCATGTTGGCAAAGCAGCTCCCTCTGCTGAATACTGAGGAAGAGTAGAGTGTTTGTGTTACCCCTTTTTGACCCAAGCAGTTAACCCATTTTAGGGTCATGTGGGTTGTTACAGTTAGGAGCAGAAAAGGATGATGATTCAGGTATTTTTTGGACGCAATCCTATTTATTTACAAAGAATGTACAAAGTCCTGTTTTGTTTTTACACCCAGGGCTACATCTACACTGCAGGCTTCTTGCACAAGAACAGCTATTCTTGCGCAAAAACTTGCAGAGCATCTACACTGCATGCACATTCTTGTGCAAATAAATTTACAGTCTAGCATCAGAAAACAGGGCTTCTTCCAGAAGAATTATTCCTCTCCCCACGAGGAATAAGCCCTCTTGCACAAGAGCTCTTCCACAAGAAGGCAGTGTAGACAGGCAACAGGAATTTCTTGCACAAAAAACCCCTATGGCTAAAATAGCCATCACAGCTTTCTTGCACAAGAGAGTGTCCACACTGCCATGGACGCTCTTATGCAAAAGCACATCTCTGGTGCAAAAGCACATAGCAGTGTGGACGCGCTTTTGTAGAAGACCTTTTGAACAAGAACTCTTGTGCAAAACAGTTCTTGCGCAAGAAGCCTGCAGTGTAGATGTAGCTCCAGAGATTCAATTAACAGGAGACAGTTTCTTTGCTCACAGTTCTCTTGGCCCAAAATCTCTTAACTTTCTTTCAGGGTCATATTATCAGTGCGTCTGCAGCTTTAGCCTTAGATCTCTGCTGCTTTTCTCTAGCTCCTTGCTGGTGTTTCTCACTGCTACTTTTACCAGTAGATTCACAAGGTTCATCAGTGCCCTAGCCTCTGCATTTGCTCTGTCAGTCTCAAGAGAAGCCCATTGGTCCACATGATTCAGCTTCTACTCTGATCTTACTAGGTGCCTGGAGTTTGAGGGGTGTTCCCATTGTTTCAGATATATGCTTCCATGAAGATGCTCAGTTGTTTATTCCTGAATGAGAAGCCGTTGTTACACCCACCAGGTTCAACACAACATGTAATAATATGCATAGGCTTGTAAGCAGCGTCTAAATGAGCTCTCCCCTGACATCTAGTGATGAGCCGGGGGAAAAAACTTCAGGAATAGATGTACAGGCAGTCCCCGGGTTACGTACAAGATAGGGACTGTAGGTTTGTTCTTAAGTTGAATCTGTATGTAAGTCAGAACTGGCGTCCAGATTCAGCCGCGCTTGAAACTGATCAGTTTCAGCAGCGCTGACGCCAGTTCTGACTTACATACAGATTCAACTTAAGAACAAACCTACAGTCCCTATCTTGTACGTAACCCGGGGACTGCCTGTACATCTATTCCTGAAGTTTTTTCCCCCGGCTCATCACTAGATGTCAGGGGAGAGCTCATTTAGACGCTGCTTACAAGCCTATGCATATTATTACATGTTGTGTTGAACCTGGTGGGTGTAACAACGGCTTCTCATTCAGGAATAAACAACTGAGCATCTTCATGGAAGCATATATCTGAAACAATGGGAACACCCCTCAAACTCCAGGCACCTAGTAAGATCAGAGTAGAAGCTGAATCATGTGGACCAATGGGCTTCTCTTGAGACTGACAGAGCAAATGCAGAGGCTAGGGCACTGATGAACCTTGTGAATCTACTGGTAAAAGTAGCAGTGAGAAACACCAGCAAGGAGCTAGAGAAAAGCAGCAGAGATCTAAGGCTAAAGCTGCAGACGCACTGATAATATGACCCTGAAAGAAAGTTAAGAGATTTTGGGCCAAGAGAACTGTGAGCAAAGAAACTGTCTCCTGTTAATTGAATCTCTGGAGCTACATCTACACTGCAGGCTTCTTGCGCAAGAACTGTTTTGCACAAGAGTTCTTGTTCAAAAGGTCTTCTACAAAAGCGCGTCCACACTGCTATGTGCTTTTGCACCAGAGATGTGCTTTTGCATAAGAGCGTCCATGGCAGTGTGGACACTCTCTTGTGCAAGAAAGCTGTGATGGCTATTTTAGCCATAGGGGTTTTTTGTGCAAGAAATTCCTGTTGCCTGTCTACACTGCCTTCTTGTGGAAGAGCTCTTGTGCAAGAGGGCTTATTCCTCGTGGGGAGAGGAATAATTCTTCTGGAAGAAGCCCTGTTTTCTGATGCTAGACTGTAAATTTATTTGCACAAGAATGTGCATGCAGTGTAGATGCTCTGCAAGTTTTTGCGCAAGAATAGCTGTTCTTGTGCAAGAAGCCTGCAGTGTAGATGTAGCCCTGGGTGTAAAAACAAAACAGGACTTTGTACATTCTTTGTAAATAAATAGGATTGCGTCCAAAAAATACCTGAATCATCATCCTTTTCTGCTCCTAACTGTAACAACCCACATGACCCTAAAATGGGTTAACTGCTTGGGTCAAAAAGGGGTAACACAACACTGTCAGGATGTTTGAGTCCCCTGAAACTTAAGGGTCTATTAAACCCCCAGGCCTACCAATGAGGGGAGGCAAAGAAGGCAACTAACTGCCCTGGGGTCTGGAAATGCAAAAGGGCCCAGGGGCCCCCAGCCAACGCCACTGTTAGTGTAGGAGCAGTGTCAGCCAGAGTCCCAGGCTCTTTAAATCATCACCAGGGCCCCATGCGGTGCACTCCAGGCAGCACTGAGGGCTGCCTAAGGAGAAAGTAGCCTATTCCGGTCACTTCTTCTCAAGGCCCTGCCACTTCTGGGGTGCAGAGCCACCCCTCCTCCTCTCCGCCTTGCCCAGAGGCCTGGCGAGTCTGTCAACCTCCTATGTCCCTGGTGCCAGTCTCCCACTTCAGCCCTGAGCCCCTGCACGGGGCTTAATGGGAAGCTCAGGGGAAACTTAAATTGTGTCCAGTTCTGGGTGCCACATTTCAGGAAAGATGTGGAGAAATTGAAGAAGATCCAGAGAAGAGCAACAAAAACGAGTAAAGATCGGAAAACATGAGCTATGAGGGAAGACTGAAAGAATTTGGCTTGTTTAGTTTAAAGAAGAGAAGACTGAGAGGGGCCATGATAACAGCTTTCGAGTATCTAAAAGGGTGCTACAAGGGGGAGAAAAATTATCCTTACCCTCTGATGATAGGACAAGAAGCAATGGGCTTAAGTTGCAGCAAGGGAGGTTTAGGTTGAATGTTAGGGAAAAAATTCTGTCAGAGTGGTTAAGCACTGAAATAAATTGTCTAAGGAGGCTGTGGAATCTCCATCATATATTTAAAACCAGGTTAGACAAACATTTGCCAGGGATAGTCTAGATGCTGTTTGGTCCTATTATGAGTGCAGGGGACTGGACCTCATGCCTTCTCGAGGTTCCTTCCAGTTCTATGATTCTGTGATGGCTGGAATGAAATTTAACTTGACTGCTTAAAAAAAAGTTAACTTCTCCACTGAAGTGTGCTAGGGAAATAGCAGGCATTTTAAAATTGCCTGATCTTGGCTGCAGTGGCCAGGGTGGGAGGAGGAGGGATGAGGAGAAACAATGTTAGTGTGGCTATTTAAACACCAGGCACAGGGCTATCTTCACAGCCAAAGGCCTGTCTTTCTCATTTTTCACACAGCTGCCTAAGAAATTAAACGCATGTGTGTCTGTGTGTATCTATCTATAAAATGCAGAGCTTCAGCAGAGCCTGAAATTAAGTTTGTGCAAGGGACTGTGGACATCCCAGAGGGGGCTTCACCATCCCCATCCCTCCAAGTGTAATTTCACCTCGAATGTGACATGAGAATGAGAAAAGTACTGTTTAATGAGATTCATTCTTTTTCACTTTCTTTTTCTCCCCCGTGGGACCTCTACCAGCCTTGTTCCCCATGAAAAGCAGCACAGTGGTTGTCTGCTTTAATCTCGGGGGTGACTGCTTAATGCATAGCTCAGATCTGTCTCCTTAGTTGAAGGCAATGTACTAACTAGTTCAGGTAGGGGTGTGTTCTCACGGGGTGGCCCTTGTTGACATGCTGTACTGAAAAGGGGATTCTGTCCATTGGATGCTATGAGTGAGTTATATACCCAGGGACTTTCAAACAACTATTCCTAGGTGGATTACCTGAGTTGAGTTTGGTTTGCTGGGTCTGATCCAAACAGGGATTTCTTTGCAGTCAAGTCTTGAGTTCTGTTGGGGCCACTGATGCAGCGAAATGCAAATAGCAATGCCAGTGAAGGCTGCTGGGCTCAGGAGGGATGGGCAGCTGGTATTTCTACACGCCCCCCAGGAATAGTGTCAGGGAGAGGAAGGCAGCTCTCAGCCCTTCTGGAGTCACTGTAAAAACCCACAGCTGCCTGCCCCATGCGATCCTCCATGGGGGACTGTGTTTGTGGGTTGCATGCAAAGGAGGTTTTGGCTGTCTTATGCCACTGCAATTACCTTTTGGGAAGATATTCCACTTCATGAGGGTAGTTGCTGGCTTTTGGCAATACACATCCCATAGTAGGGCTGGCCAAACCGTGGAGTATCCCCTGCATGTGGTTGTTTCATATTTAAAGTGTGGCTCACGTACCCCCTATGTCCCCACTCTATTTTCCACCTCCAGACAGGGCTGGGTGGGAGCTTAGGGCTGCTGCCCTGTGGCCACATAGTGGAGCTAGGGACATCTGCCCTGCAGATATAGGGCTCTTGGGGTTTCTGCTCCAGGGGAGATGGTATTACTTGGGTAGCACTATAGCCCTGAGTCTTGGCAGATGTGCCCAGCTCTCAAACTTCTGGTAATTGTTGTATGTGGCTTGGAGGATCAGCAAGTTTTGCCATCCTGGCCATATTCTACAGATATGAGCATGTGATATAACTAAGTGGGCCTTTGATATGGGGGGGGGAGGCAGCTCCAGCTCCCAGGCCTCCAATTCCATGGATTTGTCACGGCTGCTCTCGCCCTTCCAGGCTTGGCATTGCAGGGATGGAGAAGAGAGAAGAAAGGAAGAGAGAACCCTGAGTTGCTGGGCTCTTTCTGCTCCCTCTCCCACAACCCTATGAGAATGGTACCACTACTCCCCCTGCTCCCCAAAACTCCTCTCAGCTTCTGAGGGGGAGGGAGAGAGCATAGCCTGCCTCCTGCAGAAGCCCTGATTGGCTGCTTTACTATAGGAGGCAGGGCAGTGGGGAAGGCAGCCAACCACAAAGGACTTCAGACCCCTCCCTCCCAGGTAGGGCTGAAGTGTTCCCATGATGGCAGGCACCTCTGGATTCATCTTCAGATAGGCTGCAGCGGTGACCAAAATTGTGTTATTTCTGACAAACGTCTAAGAGTGGGTAACACTGTTATTAGTGATTATACCACTGGTTCATGATGCCCTCACATTTCTGTCAAAAGTAGAGCCCACATGCCACCAGATTCCTGGGCCATGTTTAATACAGAGCATGTGTATGTGACAACCCGCCCCCCTCCACTAATGATTGTATGGAGCATCTTCCATTCATCATCAGTTGGACTCATCTGCTCTCCCAGTCACCATCACTCAGCCCTCATCGCTCCATCTATTCCTTCTCACCTATTTGTCACCATGAGACCAATATTCCCTCTAACCTTTTCCATCCGCGTCTTAATTTTTTCCAGCCATGTGCAGAATAATTTTATGCGCACAGAGACATGTGCAAGTGTGCACCACCAGTAGAAACAAAACACCTCGCTGTGGGAGCTCAGTAATCAGCTGGGTGGCATTAGAATCTCTCTTGAGCAGCTGCACAAGCACACAGCTTACAGAGAACATGGATGCAGCCCCACCTTCAACCTCCTCATTCACACCACCACCAGCCAGCTTTCCTCTCCAGTTTGCAGTTGCCTTGATCCAACTCTCTGATTTACAATTGTGGAACACTCTTGGGGAAATCACAGCAATTGCTTGCAGAGAAAAGTTACATTATGAAAGTAGTTACTGTATTTTAACTTATTTTAATCTGATTTAGCAGCAGGTGGAAATTGAGGAATGTTAGAACCATGGAAGAAGTCAGCTCACCATAGACCAAGTGCTCTGTGGCCCACAGTTTGGGATTTACTGCTTTAGCATTTCTTTGCCAATCCCTGGGGCCTGAGATGGGCCTTCCTCCTAGAGCAGTCAGTGGAGTAAACCAAAACAGATACAAAATGCAGTGAAATGAAGAACTGAAGGGAGAACGATTTTGGAGAGGTGTTCAGCTCCACGGATCCTCTTCTGATCCCTCCTGCTTCATCTAGTACTTCAGAGCAGAGTCTCTTTACCCTTCCATATTCCTCTGATCCACTTCCTTAATGATATTATCCCCTCCCCGAGTGAAGTCAGGTTCATCAGTGAAGGCTTCTTAGGAGTAAGCAAGCCAACTCTGGTTTGCATCTCTGAGCGGCTCCTTTATGGGCCACTTTCAGTTGTGGATGTCCAGCCTTGAGGATTATATCACCTTATGATCGTGCCGAGGTGGAGAAGTCATGACCTGAGGAATTTCAACAATGTAACCACATTTCCCTTCATCTTACCCCCCAACCTCTTCACACCTCCAGCCTCCACAGCCCCACAGGAAGAAAACTGTATATTATCTTTCCTTGCACCTGCCTCGTGAAGACTTCACTCAAGAGAAGGACCTTGGGAATCTTCTGACTTAGAACAGAGACTCCCTCCACAGTTTATTCTCTGTTTCAAAGTCACTGCCTGTTTCTTGGAAGGAAGCAGCTGCTTGCACTGTAAGCAGGCCAACAGTTCTGTACTGACATTTCACAGCACATTTAATAATGCCCCAGTATCATTCATTATAAACAAACCACCATTGCAAATGATTTCCTTGCCATTCTCCCTCTCTTGTTAACATTATTTTCTGCTATTACAACAGGAAATGTTAATGGCATTAATTGTTTGGTGAATCCAGTGCATTGTAGAGAACATAAACATATGCTATGTAAATCTAGGGGCTGAGATGTCTTCCCCACACCTTTAAGCACTGCAAGCCAGACACACAGTTTCCCTTGTTATTCCAGCCCTGTTCCCACCCTTCCCAACTATGACTATGTATCTCAAACCTGACCTGCAGCACTCACTGTTGTTCTGCTCTTGGGATCTTCCCAAAAAGCTGCCATCCTAACACGGGGTACCTCTTGTTCTTCCAGTCCTTCACCTTTGTGTGTGCACCTCAGTTCCTACTAGCACTGCATGCCACCCTTGCTATCTTCTATGAAGAAACAACTAGATAGTTTCAAATGTCTGTTAGGTACCAGACTGAAAAAATGATCTTGTGATTATGAAACCCCAGACTAGACTGTAGTGTGATGCAACTACTGGCTCCACCACAGAGGCTTAGCTATGTTGGTTAGGGGTGTGATTTTTGCCTACGCAGCTATGCCAGCAAAAGCCCTGTAGGACAGAGTAATATAATGGAAAAGTCCTTTTGCTGGTGTAATTTATTTTTCTTGGGAGACTGGCATAAACCAATGGTTCTCAACTAGGGGTATGTGTACTACTGGGGGTACACAGAGGTCTTCCAGGGTATACATCATCTCACCTGGTTATTTGCCAAGTTTCACAATAGGCTTCGTAAAAACACTGGCAAAAATCAATAAAAACTATAATTTCATACAAACTATGACTTGTTTTATACCATTCAATACATTACATGCTGACATGTAAGTGCCATATTTATATTCCAATCGACAGGGCTCACCAAACCACGGTGAGCCCCGCTCGCCAGCCACGCTGTCCGGCAATCTGCGCATGCGCAGATCACCCGAACCCGGCTCTTCCGGGTTACAATCTACTCACCACGAGCGAGTAGATTGTATTAATTGTTGAGCCCTGCCAATCGATTAGTTTTATACGGATATGGTAAAAATGAGAAACTGAGCAATTTTTCAGTACTGTGATACTTCTGTATTTTTATATCTGATTTTGTAAGCAAGTTGTTTTTATGTGAGGTGAAACTTGGAGGTACACAAAACAAATCAGATTCCTGAGAAGGGTATAGTAGTCTGGGAGGCTGTGATGGGGCCACGGGGATGGCTGCCACCGCGGCAGTCCCTGAGCCCTGCACCCCCAAAAGTCCCGCAGCGGCTTTTTGCGGGGAAGACGTAGCCGCGCAGCAGACGTGTGCCACCTGCTCCGGAGCCGCCCTGTGGGGTAACACCGATGCATGGGATGACGTCAGGAGAGGTGCTGGAAGCTGGAGGGGCCCGGTGCCGGCGAGCAGTGGGGAGTATAAAGGAGGCCCGGAGGGGGTGAGTGCACAGGAGAAGGAGACGGAGAGCCGCTGGGAGCCAGGCCCAGCAACGAGCCGTGACGAGGGAGAGGAAGTGACCCAGGACTGAGCATTGGAGCCAGGAGGCCGCTAGAGGGTTGGTGAGTTAAGGCGGCTGCCCCAACAACCGGGCAGGGAGTGGTGTCCCTGTCCTTAGGGTCTTGGGTCGAGACCTGGAGTGAGGGAGGGCCCAGGTCCCCCTCTCTTCCGTTGGGTGGTGCCATAGGCAGAGGCCTGGTGGTAGCGGGCGTCCAGTAGGGCCGGCCACTGGGAGCGCCACAAACGAATAGGAAAGAAAAGAAAAGGAAAGACACAGAGACCTCAAGAACAGAAACGCAGGGGCGGGTGAGCACGCAGGGGAGAAGGAGATTTATGCCTTGACCCCAATGATGACACGGCTGTAGATCTGAGGGGAGGCTCAGATCGTGACAGAGGCACTGGTCTAAACTGCCAGCAAAAGGATTTTTTTTTTTTGGTCATAGAAGGCTCGGTCTATACTTAACATTTAGACCAACATAGCTATGGCACTGAGGGGTCTCAAAAATGCACAGCTCTGAGTGTGGTAGCTATGCCAGCCTTACCCCACATTGTAGATGCAGCTTGGCCAATGGAGGGATTTACTTGGTGCTGCCTCAGTGCAGGGGGCTGGACTTAATGATCTCTGAGGTCCCTTCTAGCCCTATGTTGCTATACATTTACGATTCTCTCATGAACGCTTTTGTCAACCTAGTTACTATTGCTCAGAGAGGTAGCTTTTCTACAGCAATGGAAAAATCCCTTCCATTGCTGCAGGCCAGTGTTTCTCAAAGTGGGCCACAGACCCACTTTGAGAAAGCTGCTAACGGACCGCTCCAGTTTGTTTACTTATCGGCTCCGCAGCCACAGAGCCTTGCGGCTCCCTTTGGCTGTAGTTCACCATTTGCAGCCAAGGGGAGCAGCAGGCCTACAGCGTTACACAGTCTGTGGCCTAAGCTGTGTCTACACTAGGAAGGTTTACCAGCATAACTACACAGGTATAGTTGTAACGGCAAATCTTTCTAGTGCAGAGAAGTCCTCAGGCCAGGCCTACTTAAGGAACACTTTGTTGGTACAGCTACTCTTGCATACTATACTGGCAAAGAGTTTCTAGTGTGGACAGATGCTGGGGGTAGGACCACATTAAGCAAGGGACCGCAGTGGAAAGGAGAAGAATGGTGGCCCCATGCCAGCAGCTCCTTCAGTGCAGTCGTACTGCCCCCAGCCCTTCCACCCAGCTGCGTCTCCACGGTCTGTATAGCCCTGCTGGAGGATAGGGATGAGGGTGGTACCTGGAACAACTACCCTGGAGAAGCTGCCAGCATTCTGCTCCTTTTGCTGCTCTGGTTATCCGGAGAGTCTGAACTACAGGGCTGTTCCAGGAACCACAATGGTGAGAGGAGCACCACGTGGGGCTGCTGCTCCCAGGAGCCAGGGCCCTGCACAGGCAGCTGCTCCAGCACAGCTGAACTGCCCCCAGCCCTGTGCTCCGGTGGGGCTGAGCAGCTGCCAGCAGATGCAGCTGTGTGGAAGGGCTGGGGCACTACCCCAGCAGCCCCAGGTTCTGCTCCTTTCGCTGCTGCTGTTCTGGACAACCGTGTGGCTCAGAAGGTAACGCAGGAGGGGGAGAGAACAGGGACAGTGCGGGGGCCTCAGGCTGTGGGTGGGGCAGTCACGTGAGGAGGTTATGTGCCTCCTTTAGCTGGTGCCCCCCTTTGTGTCCCTCCCATGAGTAACAATTATACTTTTGCTGATATTGCTCATTCCAGCCTCCCAAGTGAGCTACGCTCTACTAGACGAAGCACAGCTTTGCTGGTATAATTGCATCTCCCTGTGGCCAGCACAGCTGTCAGTGAGAGATGAGACCTTGTCACACCCCTGAGCAGCACAGCTATGCTAGCAAGAAGTTTATAGTATAGTGCTGCCCTCAGTCTCTCTGTGTCTCCACATATAAAATGGGAAAAATACTTTGCTTTCTCGCAGGGTTTCAGTGAAAATAAAATATCAGCAGTGCCTGGGTGATGCTCAGTTACTATGGTGATGTGAGCCATGTAAGAACCTAGATGGAAACATTCACTAGATATTCCATTCAAAGCAACTCTATTGATTTACTTAGGACCTTAAGCAAGATTTTAATCAGATTCTACAATTCTCCTTAACGGCTTTTACTGAATAATGTCACTTCCTTTTCCTCTTGACAATGACCCTGGCCTCTTAGTGGAGGGACATCCTCATCCATGGAAAAATGAAAGATGTTAAATCAGCTCCTTTATTTCCTTTCTCTTGCTCATTCATTAATAACACAAATTAATGAGGCACCAAGGCGATCACTTTCTCTTTTTAATGCTGGTGTCAACCTAATGCTGGTGAAAGGAGCCAGTCTATGTGATGACTGGGATTGGTAGGTTGGGCCTACCACAGTGAAAGGCCCACCCACTTAGGTGAGGGAGGGATCACAGAGCCCAGACAACCAATGACCCTAGAGACTCTCTCTCTAAATTCCGGCTAGCCACTATACAATGTGCCACACCCTGCCCTGGAAGACCTCTTTCTAGGAGCAAGCAAAGAGTTTAATCTCCAAGGCCTATTCACTTCTTCGTTTCCAAATGAGATAGCCAAAATGGTGGCCTGTTAGTGATGTGAACATTGGCCCATTTGGACCTTGGCCCGACACCCTCCAAACTCAAACTAGGGCCTCTCTCTGTTTCTCTATTTGCTGCACATTACATTACTTCTCATGCCTTCTGTTCAGACGTTTCATCTCTCCTCCGCTTTCCCCTTTGCGCCTGCTCCCATCAAAGCGAGCAATGGAAATTTTGCTACCAGCTTTCATGAGAGTGGGACAAGCCCCATAGCTGCTCCTCAAGTATTTTTTTAATGGGTCTTTTCTCAGGAGCGTCCCAGTATTCTACAGGCAGGTGTGTTCTGTCTGGGGCAGTCACCTACTCACATTCTGCCAAGCCTGCAACTGCAGGAAGAGTGGGAAAACTTGACACACTCTTAACGCTGCCTGTAGTTCTCACATAAAGCATCTTTCCTTCCCTTATAATTTACTCCCCTCATTACTGTGCTTCTGATTATTTTGCTGATTAAAGACCTGAGTTAGAAAAACCCCAGGGAACAAGAAACATATGACATTTCAACAGTGAATGGAAGATCTGCCATTCCTTGGTGAGAGCTGGAAGAGTGTGGGATGACAGGAAAAAAAATCTCTTTCTTTATAAACATGTCAGATGATTCAGGCTAAAAAACAGGAAATAGGCAGAAAAGGACCATAATTTAAATAAGTCACAAATAGATAAATCTGCCTGCCCAAATGTTTGGGGAGGGGGTGGCTCAGTTGCTCGTAAGATGTCCTCCAATTCCCCCAGCCCTGAAAAGCTTCAATGCATTTTGAGAGCTGAGGGAGTTGTTTTTTTATGGTGTGAGAGAAAATTATTTTCAAGGTGTGATCAAAGGATATTTTTAGGATTGTTCAAGGACTTCCTGTAGAAGTCTGAATAGCAATCCTCACCCACACACTGTACATACACTTGTGCTTTAAATCTTGCTCAGCATCGGCTCCTATTGCCTCTTCTTTCTTTCAATTTTCTGCAGGATGCCTATGTCCTGCCCCCTCCAGGGGAATGAGGTTTGCTCTGGGAGGTTTGCTCTGGACACAGTTTCTTCCCTGCATACCCTGTCAGACATTCTTCTCAAAGTTTGGTCCTCATCCCTTTCACTGCTGTTTGGTTGCCATTTACTCACTCCCCACTTCCAGTTCCTTAAGGTTTGGGTCTTGGGGGTGGTGTTCTCTCTCCCTTGGACCTTCTTACTCAGGATGATTAGAGGCTTACGGTTCCTCCCACTGAGCACTGTCCTCCCGCTAAAATCTGGAGAAGTCTGGAGAAGAATTCCACATATATGATCCAAGACTGTTTATCAAGTCCATGGCTCATACTAGTGCAACAAGGATTCCAATGCCAGAGCCAGGGCTTTAAAGTCCACCCTGCTTTCCAGTGTCTGAGAGATCATACAACAAGGCAGCCTAAGCACAGGTGCGGTAAAGTCCTCTCTCTCCCTGGCATGGGAGAAGGTGTTTATCCAAAGAACTCAGCACAGGACACACTGTGACCCCAGTTTCCAAACATGAAACCCAGCTCTCTTTTGAGGTTCCCAAATCAGCAGCGAGGCACCCAGATTCTCAGAGGAGATGCCTACATGCCTCCTTGAGCCCCGAAATGCAGAATTAAGGGCTTTTACTTAGACCTTGAGCCAAGTGTGTGTAATGGACAAGAGCATCTCAAACAAAGACAGTTCTGCCAAGCATTGAGTCTTCAGTGGAACACCCCCTTGAGTTGGATTTGCTTTCATGGAGTTTTGAAAATAACCCTATCTTATGCTGGTGGATTTTCCCTTGTGCTTTGGTGAGATCTCCCTCCTCTGGACTGTCATAGTTTACAGCAGCTTAAGTTTCATGTCCTCGCAACAGATGTTTTTTGGGGACCCAGGATTCACACTGAATGTTCTGCTGGCTTGACAACCTGGATGCTGTTGCTTCAGCCCAGAGACGGCACAACACAGATCTGATAAAGTCATCTTCCAACAAATGGTTGAAAACACAGGACCCAGGAAAGCTCTTGCAGTGAGGGACTGGTGGCCAGTACATAGAGTCAAAGGTGAAATTCTGTATGGTCACAAGGCACCACATAAGCTCTCTCACTGGTTTTTACTGACTCTGGGGCAGTGAGGATGTTGTTAGACATGGTCACAACCTGGGCACTCCTTCAAGGTTTCAACAAAGTGCTGAGCAGAGCTGGTGGTGTGGGAGGCTGCTGTTGACACATCATGGCAGTACACTCTCCTGTGCCCCTGCAGAACCAAACAAGAAATGGAGTAAGAAAAGCATGGTACAGACAAATACCTCAAGACCGCGTCACACACTCTGTTTCAGGAGGCCCAGTTCTGAGTGGGGTGTCCCTTGGCTCCATTCAACACTGTTCCATTTCATGGCTTAGAAGGGACAGGCTACAGCTCAGAACAAGCCCAAGCATTAGTGGGCATGGCTGAAGCATGGCTGGGTACCACCTATGTTACAAAGTGCTGTAACTGAATCAAAGAGCAATTATATTGTCATCGGGGTCTTTGGCATAGCTGTAACTCAAGCACAGACAAGACTAAGCCAGGGTTATACCACAATTGTGTAATGCAGCTCTATCATTTTATTTCCTGTCCTCACAGGCGAGAAGCTACCGCATAACAAGGATACTGTGTAGCACTGTGCTTAAGGATCGTTATTTTATATAGCATGTGAAGTGTTGGCTTTAATCAATACACATGCCCAGAACGGAGATGGATGACATAAAAATGTAACGGTAGAACACCCAGACAGTTCCCACACATGCCTATGGCAAAGGAAAATAGAAAGAGGACTGTGCTCTTTTTTTGCTCCTTTATTAAGCAGAAATGGGGCCCAAAGGGTTTTGTAAAAGAGAATAATTGTTTTTCCCCTTTCCTGCTTGGTTTTTGTTTGTTTGGTTGGTTGGTTGGTTGGTTGGTTTTTAAGAAGAGAAGGAAGGTTTCCCTGTTTTTTTCTGGAGGTTTTCTTGGAGGCTTTTAAATGTGGCTTGTTAGCTTTCTTAGGCTCTTTATTCACAGTGGAGTGGAAACTGAATGTTTAACACAGAGGGTATGTCTAGACTACATGGCTCCATTGACGGAGCCATGTAGATGAGTTTACTAGACATAGGAAAATGAAGCAGCGATTTAAATAATCGCCACTTCATTTACATCAAAATGGCCACCGCGCTGTGCCGATCAGCTGTTTGGCTGCATAGCGGGGCAGTCTGGACTCGCCACAGTCAACAAGGGAAGCCTTTGTTGACCGCTCCGTTATGCCTTGTGAAATGAGGCTTACCAGAGCGGTCGACAAAGGTTTCCCTTGTTGACCGCGGCATGTCCAGACTGCCCTGCTGTGCCGCCAAACAGCTGATTGGCACAGTGCGGCGGCCATTTTGATGTAAATGAAGCGGTGATTATTTAAATCGCCGCTTCATTTCCCTATGTCTAGTAAACTCATCTACATAGCTCCGTCGATGGAGCCACGTAGTCTAGACATACCCAGAGTGCTTTTTGCTGAAGTGTGTTTGTAAATAGGCACTGAATAATAATCATATAATATACACCTCACTCATATACTGGATTTTCATCAGCAGACCTAGAAGGCATTAACACACAATTTTTTAAAAAGCCCTTTAAGGAGGCTGAATGATAATGACTTTTCCCCTTAACTAAGTACATAGGATGAGATTGGGTGCTTTGCCTCTTAGAACTCTAATCCAGAATTTGTAGCATAGGAGGAGGCGGCACCATGGGGGCTTTAAGCCATCTTGAAGTATTCCTTATCTGGAGCTGTTCTGGTGCCTATAATGTAATTTAGGCAACTTTAGGGATTTCCCCCATCCTTGATACTCCCCTCTCTTGCATCTCACCAAGCATACCTCCTGTGCCAAAGGCTAAGTCTACACTACCAGGTTATTTTGAAATAATAACTCCCCCAAAAAACTATTTTGAAATAAGCTTATTCCTCTTGGGTATGTCTACACAGCAGGGCTAAAGCTGAAATACGCTTCCAACTTGAGTTATGCCAATTGCATAGCTTAATTCAAAATAGCTTATTTTAGCTTTTGGTGCTGTCTACACAGCAGGAAGTCCGAGTTACAGCACTCTTTCTCTGACTTCCCCTATCCTTGTACAATGAGGGTTACAGGAGTCAAAATAAAGCAGTCCTCCAGCTCAACTTTATTTCAACATTATGTCAAAATAACTGCTTGTAGTGTAGACGCGGACTATGTTATTTTGGAATAATGTTAGTTATTCTGAAATAACGCTGCTGTGTAGACATAGCCACAGTTTGCAAGGTGGTCCTCATAGAGCAGCCTTATAGCTGTCTTCTGCAGTGCCTCTGCTGGGAGAATCCTTCACTAGCTGGATAAGTTTTTTCTAGGGCCCCTTTTTGTCATGCCTCCCCTTTTGCCTACCATAAAGGGGTTGGAGTTTGGGCTGAGGACCTCACTCATGGTCCTTAATCCTACCAGTTTTTCAATCCTCCATCGAATACATCAGGGTGAACAAAATCAGAAAGTCTAACACAGGAACCAACATAATTTATTTTTCTTTTTAAACTTCCAAGCAATTTTTATCCCGAAAACAAGGAAAACAAGGATATAAGTATAATTGTTTTGCCCTTATTATGTCCCTTTTAACAGATAACCGTGCTCTCTCACAGATCCACATCACACTGCACTCATATGGGAAGGCACCATCCATGGTTTGGGGGCATACGAAGAGGAAGTAGATGGTGCTCATAGGTGAGGTCTATAGGACTGTTATGTCCCCTGGCATTGTGCCTGTGGTATCCAAGAGAATTGCACCCCTCTCAGGAAGTCTTGCAAGTAGTCTAATGGGGGGTTAATCAAGTGTTGAACCTAGCAGCAAGCAAGGTTGCCTCATCCTTATTCCCGGGATCTAAGTTATCACAGTGAAGGGCAGAGAGACTTCAGAGAGGCACAGGACTCTACCAGACAGATCTAACCCATACCGGGGACAAATCCCCAGGCGAGAGACATTGCATGTTTACTAAGAGACAGATATAAGCCTAGTATTACAACTGGAGAACTCTTCAGTGAGGCTGTTGGGTTTTCAATGAAGTGTCTTCGTGCCAGATACCTGCTACTTTGGCGATCCCTGCAGAAAGGTGTGATACACACCTTCTGGCATATTGGAGCAGCTTCCCCCTGAACAGATCCGGAAGATGTTGGGTCAATTTCAATGTTGGTGCAAGTGGGAACTGAAGTCAACAGAACTGCTCCTGTTCGCACCAGCTGAGAACCTGACCTACATGAACTAAATAGGACAGTCGCTGAAAGGGACAAAACAAGGGACCCCCCACAATTAAACACAACAGTTTGTGCAGCCTGAGTGAAAGCCAGACTGAAGCAGCCCCAGTCCTGTGTGTCTTGGGCCTAGAGAGACTCAGGTAGCACACAGACCACCCATGGGATACAGAAGCACACTCCTGGGTGTGTGCTGCTGCTGTGCGCAGAAGTGGAGCTTACTCTACCTTTCCCACAGTTGCCACTATCGGGTCAGCAATGGTGGGAGTGGCAGTGTGCACAGGATGCTAGGCAGCCCTGGTATCATCACTGGCAGTTCAAAGCAGCTCTAGATGACACTGGTAGCCACCAACTTCTTGTCTACACCGGAGCTGCCATTACTGCCATTGCTGGTAGACCCAGAGGGAAAATTTTGACAAAGAAGCCTAGTGTAGACAAAAATGAGGAGTCAAAGTTGCTGGCAAAGGGGGTACGTGCACAGGTTCTCGTCACTCAGCATACTGCTCCTTGCAACCGACAGATGCCATGGTAGAAAGTGCTGTGTCAAATAACCCAGCATGGCAGAAGCAGGTTCTGAAGTGATTGGGAGGAGAAAATCCTTTCCTGTGGGCTGCCATCAGGCTGTGTAGCCCTCTTGTGACTGTGTTGCGGCCCCTGGGTCCCAGCAACCCCTCACAGTTTCTGTGTCACTCCCTGCATTGGCAAGACACTGGCCACTAGACCCTGCAATTGATGGAAATCTCTCAAGACCAGCTGGGTTTACAGGGTTTTTTTCCTTCTGTAATGGTAGAAATCTTGCAGGATCAGCTATGTCCTAAGTTTGGGGTCACATCAGAATCAGAACAATCCTTCTAGGTTTGCTTTTGACATGGAACCAAAATCGCAAGGGTGGATATCGATCCATGAATTCAAACCCCAGCCCATCTGAAATCCAGTCATTGTTGATAGAACCACTCTCAACAGACCTCACAAAAAAACAGGGTGGGGTGGGTGTGTCTGTGGACCCGGCCAACTTTAGATGTATACAGAGAGATATTAACAAGAACAGTATGAGAGTCCACGGTACAGGGATACTCACAGCGTGGGGCTGTCTCTCCATTTACACCTCCATTCTTAGGTCGGAAAATCCCTGTTTGCCTTCGTTACCTAGCATTGGCCTCTCAGTCCTGGTATGCCAGACCAAAACCTGCAGGGAAACACCCAGAGAGTTCACAGCTGCTTTGGATTCCATGGACAAAGACTAGTAATCTCAGTGTGTTCGTTCCTGAACAGTCAGGGCTCTGAAATAGGTTAGGGGTTTGGGTGAAAGTGACCCGAGTCAGAGCTAGAGTCAGAGTTTATTAGAACTCTGATAGCCAACAAATTAATCTAACATGAATAAAATAAACAATTGCAATGAAGAGAGATGGGCCTGACTCCAGATCAGCCTTCTGCTACAAACTCTAGAATGCAGTAGGGAATTGGGGGGGGGGTCTGAATTCTGCAGCTGAGACCCAACTCTCATACGATATTATAACAGATCACCATAGTGCCTCTTTGGACTCATATAGCTTTTCATCTGCTAAGCGCTTCACACCCATTAACTGATTTGCCTAGCGATTGTTCTGTGCTAATGGGCTTTGGTGTATGGTCAGGTGCAATGGAGGAGGGACAGGACCATGACAGGGGGTGTGTTTATAAGGGAGGTTGAATGTAGACCCCAGAAGGGGAAACTGTGCTTTGAAATCCCTTGTCATGCTGACCTTTGTGCAGTTGGCTGCTTTGGGCTCCAGTCCATCCAAAGTCACCAGATCCTTCAGCAAGCTGCTTTCTTGGTAGCCTCCTTTTACTCCCTCCAGCTTGAAAGTGGCTTGAGGCCTCTCCAAGATCAGTCTGATGCTGACTGCAAATCCAGCCATGTCAATAGCAAAGGGCCGGTTAGGGTCAAAAACCACCTTCCAGCCCACCACTTTCCCCGCTGGGCTCACTATGGGAGACTCGTACCTCAGACCCCCAGCGAAGGCCACTGGCCATACGGATACCCTCCTTGTATAGCGCATCTGTGTGCCAGAGAGAAGCAGTGCAGTGAAAGGTTCAATGCTGTCAGATCACCCCCACCTCCCTATGTGCACCACGCCCCTCCTGCTCTATCGCCCATTGACTCCTTTCCCCCCGGCATCACCTGCATGAACCACCCTGCCTTTAACCCCTTGCATCCTTCTCCTCTTCATTCTTTGCCTTCTCTCTGTTCATTTCCACCCTTCAGACTGCCCCCAGGCTTTCCCCCTCCTCTCCTCTCCACCTCACCCTTGTGATCACCCCCACCCTGCCTGCCCACTTGACTTTGTACTCATACCTCATCAATGCCCTGCTCACAATGCTCACCTTCCCATCTCCAGCCCCTTCTTCACAATGCTAAAATCAAAGCAACTCGGTTCTCATTGCCCTACCTTCCCACTGTCCCCACCTTCCAACTCATCTTCACTTCCATTCACCTTCTTGCTAAGAGGTAAATCTCTCCTTATTCACTACCACAGCATCAATCTCCCCTTCATCTGTGCCTTTCTAACACCTAAGTGGTTCTAGGCAGGACACTCTGTCCATCAATGCTATGGGCTAGGGATGTGACATTGTAATTGCCAGGAGGTCTGAGGTCACTTTTACCTCCCTCTCCTCCTCTTCCTTCCTGTCATTCTCCTGTGTTTAACACCTGGCTATTCAAGTTACATCACCCTGTAACCTCCAATCATCTGCCATCTACTATCCTCCAGAGACAATGGGGGGCGGGGGGAAAGGCAGAATCCCACCCTCTTCCCAGAATATTCAGATCTTATCTAACCTCTTATTGGCCTTTGGCTGATTGTTCCATAATAATATGAACATTCCTCAGTGCTGTTAAGCCACATTACCCTAACCAGGCCTGCAAGTTCCTACCAATCACTCCAGCCAACTCCATACTTTGTCTAACTCAAGACAATGGGGGGCGGGGGGAAAGGCAGAATCCCACCCTCTTCCCAGAATATTCAGATCTTATCTAACCTCTTATTGGCCTTTGGCTGATTGTTCCATAATAATATGAACATTCCTCAGTGCTGTTAAGCCACATTACCCTAACCAGGCCTGCAAGTTCCTACCAATCACTCCAGCCAACTCCATACTTTGTCTAACTCAAGTAGTCCCCCCAAAAAGCCACTCTCTTTTGACTCTCCCTCATTCTCCTCCCCAGCAATCTTCTCTGTGCTATCACCAGGGCTACTTCCTAGAAGTGCATGGGGCTCCCTAAGGGTATGTCTACACTACATGGCTCCGTCGATGGAGCCATGTAGATTTGTTTATTGGGCAAAGGGAAATGAAGCGGCGATTTAAATAATCGCCTCTTCATTTAAATTTAAATGGCTGCCACGCTGAGCCAACAAACAGCTGATCAGCTGTTTGTCGGCTCAGCGCACTAGTCTGGACGCTCCACGGTCGACATCAAAGTCCTTTGTCGACCGCCCCGGTAAACCTCATCCTACGAGGAATAATGGGATGGTCGACAAAGGGCTTTGATGTCAACAGCGGAGCATCCAGACTAGCGTGCTGAGCCAACAAACAGCTGATCAGCTGTTTGTCAGCTCAGCGCGGCAGCCATTTAAATTTAAATGAAACAGTGATTATTTAAATCGCCGCTTCATTTCCCTTTGCCTACAACCCTAATCTACATGGCTCTATCGATGGAGCCATGTAGTCTAGACACAGCCTAAGAGTGCCCACATGGGATGCAGGAAAGGATGAACTAATGAAGGATGACAAGACTTTTTAGCCTCAAGAAGACCAAATAACTTCTGAGGATTGGAAATGGGGCCTACAGGATAACTTGGACATGCATTTCAGGTGATGCTTGATGGTGTGGTGAACCTTACTGGACAATCATCCCCTTGAGTTTGCAATAGGCTGAAAAATTCAGAGCAAATGGCATCCCCATGAAATATCCTGTTTGGCTTCCTGCTTCTACAATCCCTGGCCTGGAAATACCACGAGTATGACCGTTTCTCATTCACGCTTGCTCTTTTTCTCTCAGCTCAGACCCAGAGTACAGAGGAATGAGGAAAGGAAAACAATGGTGGATTGGAAAGTTGACCAAACTTTTTCCAACCTCCATAAAAAACTCAAGGGCAGGTTTGAGTTCTGAAGTTTTTGTCTGATGCTTTTTAAAACCAAATAAGTTCATCCTGACCCTCCAGTGGTCTGCAGCATTTGCTCTACGACCCCCTCCCCGAACAGACTTGGTGAGAGGAGTCTTTTGCCATGGATACAAAGACTTGGCACCATCTCCTGGCACCAGCATGGCCATGCACCTTAGCAGGGGGCAAAGAGGGGTAGAATTGTCCATCTATATCACACCACAGCTGTGGAGTTGCCCTGCCCCTGCATCCCATGGCTGGAACACTCCTTCCTCACTAGGAAATAAAGGGTGGTAGATTTGCATAGCTGTCAGCTTTCTAGCCCTGCCTGCCCTGCACCACCTTGCATGTGAAGGCAGAGGGAGCCCCTGTGGAGCCCTTGAGAGGGCTCCCAAGCCCTTCTCCTCCTCTGGGCAGGAGAACCATGCTAGCACCACTGGGTATGGGTTCTCTGTAACTGCAGAGCACAGGGCAGGCTTTTTATGGGCAACAGCTACACGTCATTCGCCTCTTTCATGAAGTGCAATGGCTCCTACCTCCTCAAAGAGCTCCAGGCTATAGGTGTTATCATCATCAGCAAAGTACACCACCCCTTCTGGTGGCTGCGTGTTGTTGAAGCTGTTTCTTATCCAGTGCAGCCCCAGGTTCCTCTGCAATGTCCCCCTTGGCTTGTGGGTTGGGATAAAGGCTCCACCCATCTTCAGGCTCTGGGGGCTCTCCACATTCAAGTGTGTGAAATTGAGCCCTGCCTTCTCCAGCAGGTTGGACACCAGGTTGGTCCTCCGGGGCGAGTCCTCCACCACCACCCAGTGCAGGTTCTGCACATGTAAGAAGGTGTTGGCTAGCCGGGTCAGCTCAGCCTTCTGCACTGGCCGGGTGTAAGTGGGTGTGATTACAAAGATGGTTGGGAGAGTGTCCGACCAAGGGGGAGGGCGGGAATACACATAGTTCTGGATGACTTTTGGAGCCACCCCTGAGGCTTGCTGCCAGCTGCATGATGGGAGCCCTTCTTCCCTCAGTGGGGATGTGCTGTTGAAGTGAGCTTTAGCAGTTGCATTTTCATCGGTCTCTTCTGAGGCAAAAAAGAAGAAGCTGGATGTTAGAGAATAAAGAACAGCCTGGTCACTGATACATTAAAGCATATTTGATAATTATCTATGCTCTCTCTGCGGCAGGTGCCCTGGCTCTTCAACGTTTTCATTCTGCAAACCACTTCATAAGAGAATAATCCTCTCACAGAGCTATATTTCCCCTTACCCTACTGCTTGGTACGACAGAGGTTTCGCCCTGAAAATTACTTTTGATCCATGAAGAACAGATTCAGAACCACAGAGGTGGGACCTTTTTGAATGTGTGAATGGTACAACGTGAGTGCCTCCTGACCAAAACTGTTCAGAGCTGGAAGATTATGTGCCAAATTTCAGCGGAACGGAAATGTTGCCTAGACTTCACTAGTGGTGCTGATGGTACACTGCAAGAGATATCCCTTTACAGGCAATCTACAGGCCAACAAAGAAAAAGAATCTTAGATATACCAGAACTGTACTGATGTAGTGTCAAACTTACATTCTTAGGGTATGTCTAAACTACCACCCTAGTTCGAACTAGGGTGGTAGTTTAGACATACCCTAAGAATGTAAGTTTGACACTACATCAGTACAGTTCTGGTATATCTAAGATTCTTTTTCTTTGTTGGCCTGTAGATTGCCTGTAAAGGGATATCTCTTGCAGTGTACCATCAGCACCACTAGTGAAGTCTAGGCAACATTTCCGTTCCGCTGAAATTTGGCACATAATCTTCCAGCTCTGAACAGTTGCGGCTCCCGGCAAGATGCAAATGAAGCCTGGGAAATTCAAATCCCGGGCTTCATTTGCAACTCCGGTTGCCTACATTACCACCCTAGTTCGAACTAGGGTGGCAGTGTAGACATACCCTTAAAGATGAAATAAAGTGTAGAGGGGATGGGCCGTGAACCAAACTCTTGGGTCTGAACATCCCTGAAGTTCAGGGAAATGTACTGTAAAGCAGAGTTTCTACAACTTTATCATGTGTATACATTTTTCAGATGGAGAGATTCACACCCATGCTTCCCCTCCCAACTCCCAAAACTACAGCAGCCATAGTGCTTGCTTACTTGAAAACCCTGCAGCCACTCAGTGAAGAGACTGCATTGAAATAAGTATCTTCAATGTGATGGAAGTGTCACCCTCAGTTTTGTAACTGTGCTCTTTGTTTCCCCCGCCCTATTTAATACTAATTAGGTCTTTGGGAAGTGGCAACTCTAAAAGAGTCTTAGGCAGGGCCAAACCAGTAGAGGCGGTCATTACAATGGGTTGAAAAAATGGAAAATAATTTGAGAAAAAATTAGAAATTTCAAAGTTGTTTCCTTGTGCAGTTTTCAAAAGGGAAAGATTGTATGTTTGTGACATACTTCAAGGGTACAAATCTGGAACTGTGGGACTACTGTGCTGTTTTGAGGTACAGAGTGAACACTGTTTACTGGAAATTTTTCATTCAAAACACTTTAACAATTTTTTTCTCCCTCTCTTTCTCCTCCACAGCCTTATTTTACCACTGAAAAAAGGGGCGGGGGATAAAAGGATGAAGAAAAAAAGTTAAACAGAAAACAGTCAAAAAGTTCGTTTTCTAATTTTTTAAAAAAATTAATTCAATTTTCCGAATTAGAAAAGGGTGATTTTTTGTTAAAAAATGTGATAGTTGAAAAATTCTGATGAGATCTAAAAGTCACTGCAATCCATGGTCTCCCAGTATGGTGCTTTATCCCCGCTAGTGAAGGCTGTCACCTAGCTATTAATAAATATGCTACAGCCTTAACTCACAGAACAGCCTTTTTTAGCTCAAGCGGTAGAGGTTCATATACTGAGATCCAGAGGTCCCAAGTTCAATCCCCACTGCTAATGAGCTGCCTTGGAATGATGATGTCACAAGTGGGGGTTATGTAACGTTATTGTATGTCACATTACCACTGTGTCCAAATCAGCCGGGCTGTGTCTACACTGGGCCACTTATTCCGGAAAATCAGCCGCTTTTCCGGAATAAGCTGTGAGCTGTCTACACTGGCCCTTGAATTTCCAGAAAAGCAACGATGCTCTACTATACAAAATCAGCCGCTATGCTCTACTGTACAAAATCAGCCGCTATTCCGGAAAAACTATTCTGCTCCCACTCGGGCATAAGTCCTTATTCCGGAACACTGTTCCGGAAAAGGGCCAGTGTAGACAGCCCAGTAGTCTTTTCCGGAAAAAAGCCCCGATCGCGAAAATGGCAATCTGGGCTCTTTTCCGGAAAAGCGCGTCTACATTGGCCACAGACGCTTTTCCGGAAAAAAGGGCTTTTCCAGAAAAGCAGCCTGCCAATATAGATGCTCCTTTTCCGGAAAAACTGAAAACGGAATAGTATTCCATTTTAAGCATTTCCAGAAATTCATGCCAGTGTAGACACAGCCCCTGTGTGTCAGATGAAAAAGCTGTGTGGCCCTCTCATGAACTGCAGAGGGGTGTGAAAACTGGTGTTGCAGTGATGTTGTTGCTGTTGTTACCGCTTTGCTGAGTGGTAGCACATTTGGAGCTTTGCAATGGGCCATCTTCCATTTGGAAGAGGGAATTTGGGATACAGATGCCACATAGTTCCTGTTAGTCTATCTTTATTCACAAAATAGACCTCAGTCCAGTTTACTTTGAACAGAGATGGCAAAAACAGCAGCAAACTGCACTCTCACAACTCCATTTGCAGGAACCAGCTGAGTCAACCCTATGACCAGTTCTGTAACCAGAAAGCAGCTGTCTCTCTTACCCATAACCCTTCCTTCAGCCTGCGGGCTGAGTCTGTGCCCTGCCTGCTCCCTGTATTCTATCTGGCATGCCCCTTAGCCCAAAGTTGCATGGCAAGACTGTATGGAGTTTATTATTCTCAAAACAGCATGGGCTAGTTCAGGTGGACCTGGGTGTTAACTCGCTCAGATTTGTTTCCTAAATGTCCTGCCAGTCCAACATCTCTGGTGGGAGCAAAGGAAGGGAGTAATAGTGTAGTCAGGATTCCACTCGTATTTAAAGCCCTGTGCTATCTAAGGGTACGTCTAGACTACAGGCTTTTGTCGACAGAAGTTTTGTCGACAGATACTGTCGACAAAACTTCTGTCGACAAAGAGCATCTAGACTACATTGAGTTCTGTCGACAAAGCAAGCTGCTTTGTCGACATGGTAGTGTAGACGCAAAGGACAGTTTACATTCAATAACACCTTCTGTCGACAGAAACTCTGTCGACAGAAGGTGTTATGCCTCGTAAAATGAGGTTTACCAGCGTCGACAAAACTGCTGAGTTCTGTCGACGTTATGTCGACAGAACTCAGCGGTAGTGTAGACGCAGGTATAGTTTTGTCGACAAAAGTCCACTTTTGTTGACAAAACTCTGTAGTCTAGACACACCCTAACTGTGCTCAGAGCAGGCCTACATGCTGTAATGCCAAAACTTCAGCGGCTTCTCTACACAGGAGCTCCACTGGGGTAGTGCTATGGCAGAAAGGAAAAATCCAGCTGTAGACTAGCTGCTCTCCTGCACAAAAGAATTCCTTAGGCAGACTGACTTAGATCCTCAGAGGTATTTAGGCATCTAACGTCCACTGAAATCAATAGGACTCACGTGCCTAAAAACCTTTGAGGATCTTGGCCCATTAAGCCATAATGTCTAGAGTGGGCTTGTCTCTGAGGCTTCCTCCACACAACGGAGTCTTTAGCTGACTGGCTGAGTGCAGAAGCCAGTCCCTGAGGGTTCCTTTGGGCAAGTTTTCCTCTGTTTCACCTTTTCTGTGGCAAATTCCTATCCAGCGCTCATATCAATAGCTCCAGGCATGTCTTTCAGGAGCACCCTTGCCATGACACTGTTATGATCACACTGTAACCATGTTACAAGCAGAGCCCTGACACTTACTTCTCAGCAGGATGAGGTAGCGAGTGGCTGGGTACTGATGCCACAAGGTTAGGAGCAGGGCCCATGGCAAGACGATCAGGAGTGTGGTGAGAAGGTTACGTCTCCTTAGCATGCTGCAAAGAGCTTCCAACGCCCAGGCATCTCCCTACCTTTCAGAACAGAGCATGGAGTAAGTGGGGCTTGTACAGAGAATGACAGACACCAGCAAAGGCTAGGTCAGTGCTATCAGATATGCAGTTAACAGACCAGGTGCAACTCACGTTGAGATGGATCCTGAATGGTGCCGAGCACTTGGGCCTTTTTTAAATTTAAGCACATAACTAGTCCCATCGCTCTCCAGAACTGAGCCATTAAGGTATTTATCTGGCTGCCACACCTGGGTCAGGTACTACAGAGGCATTTTTCAAAGAATAAGTTTCTGCACATCCATCAAGGCTAAACTACCTCCTAACTGTGAACTCAGGGGACCCAGTGCATGGTGGTTTTCCTCTCTGGATCTGCAGGCAGCTGCAACAACAGTCTGAAGGGAGCTGCTAGCAATCCCATTCATCCCAAGGGGGTGTTAACTTCTGAACCGAGAAGTGACACTTCAGCCATTTGAAAATTTGACTCCTCAGGTACCGAATTTGTAGCATTATTGCAGTTGTTGTGTGCAAGACCTGAATAATTAGAGACATAAATGGACAAAGCATGGAGGCAGTAGTGGGCCTAAAGACGCCCAGTATCCCTTTTTCTCATATCATTTTAATGCAGCCCTTTTATACATATTAATTCTGATATCGTCTTTACAGTCAGATCCTGATTTTTACCCAGATCCCCTGCCTCATTCAGTGCACAGTAAAGATGATGATCACCACTTGGGTAATTAATCAATGTCTCTTTTTATCCCCCTCAATAAGTATCTGGCCACTGCATTATGTATGGTGCATCATCCAAACCATGCACTGCATATGGAATTATTAATTTCCTCTTGGGCTTTTCTGTGCCTCTCATCACCACAGAATTGGAGTGCTTATTAATAAGGTTATCTTTACAGCACCCCTGTGAAATGAGGAGAACTGAGGCACAGAGTCTTTAAAGCCCACATTTTCAGGAGGGATCACTAATTTGGGGTGCTTCATTCCTTGAGTGTCCAACTTAAGACATCTTGGGCCTGAATTTTCCCAGTTGCTCATTGCCTACCAAAAGTGCTGCAACTAGAGAGGGGTGTGTGTGTGTGTGCTGCAGTACTTCTTGGCTTGACGTGGTTTCCATCCCTATCTAGGGTTTAGAGTTGATTCAATGGCTCTCAGCACCCCCACTACACAAACTGTTCCAGCGCTGCTGACACCTACAGCTCCTGTCAACTTCAATATGGGTTGTGAGTGATCCGCACTTCTGAAAATTAGACCCTAGGTGTCTCAGGTTGGGCAGTCACTTGACAAAGTATCCAAATTAGTGGCCCTTTCTTAAAACGCTGATAGAAGAGACTTGCTCACCATCACCCAGAAAGTCTATGGCAGAAACAAGGACATAGGCCAGATGCCAATTTGAGGTCCCAACTAAAAGGCCATCCTTTTCCTTCCAGAAATCCCCTGTCCCATTCATCACACAACTTCCAGTGCCTGCTTTTAGCCAGAAGCTCCCCGTCTCATTATTAAATGAGCTGCCTGTGCTATGCCCCCGGGAGCCAAGCCAAGCATCGTAATGGCAATTTCATCCTTCTGCAGCACAGCAGTCCATGTATGCACAGAGTTGCACAGCAGTAGCGCTGCCTGTTGTCAGTGGGGGACTCACCACGTTGCTGTCAGCAGAGTGGCTCGCTGTTGACCTGTTTTGACACCAGCGTGTGCCAGACTTTACTCCCCTCGCCCTCCTGGTAAGAGCTGTGCCCTGATTCCTCTGGGATTCTTCTCAGGTGCTGAGTGCATATATTGAGCTCTTCCCAATGGGCCTCTTCCCTCATGCCTGTCTACCAGACAGTGGCTGCACAGGTGCTCCCCCTGGAAGCCTACGGGAATAAAATTTTCATTAGCCACAAAGACAGAGGTTTCCCTTGAGCAATAAAAGCAGTGACTGTGACCATGCGTCCTGAGAACCAGAGAGCTCCTGCTCTCAGCCTGGCCTCTGAACTCCCAGCTCCTCTTCCTGCTCTTCCAGGTAAAAAGCCTGTGGAAGGCCAGTGCTCTGGGACCAGTATAAGGGAAGAGAGGGAGGACAGAGAGTCCACAGCTTTGCAGATTATTCGAGAGATCCAGGTGTGAGTCCTTTATCACAGATTTCCTGTGTGACCCTGGGCAAGTCACACAGTCGCCCCGGGCCTCAGTTTCCCATGGTTGAAATGAGGATAACAACTCTGCCCTAGCTCACAGGAGTGACACGAGGATAAATAGAATCATAGAATACTAGAACTGGAAGGGACCTCGAGAGGTCATCAAGCACAGTGCCCTGCCCTCATGGCAGGCCCAGGCACCATCCCGACCATCCCTGACAGGTGTCCAACCTGCTCTTAAATATCTCCAGAGATGGAGATTCCACAACTGCCCTAGGCAATTTATTCCAGTGTTTAACCACCCTGACAGTCAGGAAGTTTTTCCTAATGTCCAACCTAAACCTCCCTTGCTGCAGTTTAAGCCCATTGCTTCTTGTCCTATCCTCACAGGCCAAGGAGAACAATTTTTCTCCCTCCTCCTTGTAACACCATTTTAGATACCTGAAAACTGCTATCATGTCCCTTGCAAGGTATGGTGATACTCTAACAACAGGGTCCCTGTCAGCACCAGAGATAGCTGGGGGCGTGCTGTAGGTTTGTTAGATCTCCTGGGACCAAGTCTTTAATCTTTTCATTGCTTTTAAATTATAATAAATAATATTAATAACTCCCACATTGGGAGGGGAATTGTTTCCCTGCCTCACATTATGGAAGCTAAGAATCAAGCAGTAAGTCTCAGATGTGTGGGGCAGGAAGCTAGGTTTTCTCTTAAGCTCCAGCATCCACTGCAGGCCCCTTTATATTTTGTGGAGCACAGATAGCAAGTGCAGCATTTTGTGTCTATAAAGGAAGACAGTGTTTGCTACAAACTCAGATTGACTCTGGAGGGAAGGAGACAACAGGAGGAGGAGGATTACTCCTGGGGGAATTTTACACCAACAAATTAAAAATTCTGCGCACGATATTTTAAAATTCTGCACATTTTATTTGTCAAAGCAATGCAATATAATCACCCTGGTTTCAATTCTTTTGGTAATTTATTTAAACTACAACACAATGGGTGGAGAATGAGAATGGAGAGTATTGGAGGAAATCCCAAACCCCCTTGCCTCATAGTAATGTAGATAGGTTTCACCCTTTATTTCTAGTTATTAGTTGGCAAATATATGCAGCAGTACGCTCAGTGTGACATCATAGGCAACTGACAAGCAAGTGAAGGCTGAGCAACCAAACTCAAAATTTATATTGGCTACTGACTATATACAGGGAAGTAGCAAACAACATGTTTGGATGGGAAATTTTTTCACTCTGAAAAGTTAGTGGTTGGAACTAGTCTAAATCAACATAAGCTTTTATAAGGCCATACTGTTCTTTGTAGCACACTAACAATATAAAGGAGCCTTAAAATGTTTATACCTGTTTTATAACCTGGGAAGGAGGGAGGGCAGAATTCTCAAAGACAATGGGAACAATTCACAAAGCAAGCAGACTGCTGCATTCTGTTCTGCTTGATGGGACAAGGTCTGCCCCATACCAAACTCTTCAGAAACACCCTAAAGCCCTGCCCTTCCATGCTGAACACATTGCAATAGCAATTAAGAGGGACAAAGTCTCTCTCTCATGGGTGCCCACCCAGCATCCCTCTACCCTCGGGTGATTGCTCTGGGTACCTGAACCAACCTGCATATGCTCCTAGAGAGGGGTATGTGACTGATCTTGTGGCTTCCCTTTGATTCCCTGTGAGAAATCATTTTACTGCAGGGAAGCAAAGAAATCTGCAGGGGACATGAATTCTGTGCACATGCAGTGAAACAGAATTCCTCCAGGAGTAGAGGATGCGGTTTTGTTACCAAGGGCATAGAAGGGAGCAGAAGACAGTTAGCAGAGTGTACAAATTCTGTTTCTAGTTCTATATCCTCAAATCCAGCCCTGTTCCTGCTCCCCAAATGCCACACAGAGCCAGAATCTGTGGGTGCAGCTCCCCAGGGCTATGTCTACACGGGCGGGTTATTGCGCAAGTACGGCGTTCTTGTGCAAGAATCCACAGAGCGTCTACACTGCCCACCCACTCTTGCGCATGGAAATTTATAGTACAGCGTGGTAAGAGATGGCTCCTTGCGCAAGAGCTACGCTCTCTTTTTAACAGGTGTAAACCCTCTTGTGCAGGAGCTCTTGTGCAAGAGAGCATCCACACTGCCATGGATGCTCTTGCGCAAAAGCACAGTGCACACATGGCAATGTGGACGTTTTCTTGCGCAAGATGTTGCGGCGCAAGAAGCCGCAGGTGTTGACACAGCCCAGGTGTTCTTTATTCTTTTACTTCTATATCACAGGTCCCCAAAGTATGGTACTGGCCCCCTTGATGGGTTCAGTGGGCCAGCTCCCAAGGGAGGTGGGTAGAGCATGGCACTTAGCTTCTCCTTGCCTGGAGCTCTGCTCCAGCCCTGCCCATAGCTCTTGGCTGATCCTGGCCCCACCTTCCGCCCAGGGCAGAAGCTTGAGGCAGAGTGGGACCAGAAGTGGAGCCATACCCAGATGCAGGCCCAGCTGCTGGCCTCCACCATGGTTCTGTTGCAACTCCATTCCTGTCCCTGTATTCATCCTTGACTCCTGGCCATGGCTTGGTCCCTGACCCCATCCCTGTGGCTCTAGCTTCAGTCCCCTTTCCCAAATTTGCATCCCCCCAGCCATGGCCCGCTCCTGATTCTTGGGGGTACAGACAGGAGCAAGGGGGGCACAGCCCTCAAAAGTTTGGCAACCAATGTTCTATAGGCTCATTTTCTCCTTACCAGTTTTCTATAATGCCCAGAACTGCAGAACCTTAGCACTGCATGAAACCAGCAGTCAGATCTACAGTGAGCATCACAGAGGATTCTGCTCTTCACCCTTCCTGAGTCTGAACAAGTCATTTCCTCTCTCACCGCTTTTCCTCTCCTTCCCTGTTCTCTCCTTCACTCTCTGCTTCATTCACTCCTCTTTCTCCAGGCTGCGTGTTTTTTCTGTTCCGAGAACTAGAGTTGTCCTTCATCAGTGCCGCTTGACAATAATTGTAGTCCTGATCACCCCCATGTCTCCTTCTCTCACAGGTGCTTGCACAGTTTCTTCTGTGTTGTCCCACAGGCATGGAACACGCTCCCTAAGCTAAACCACTACCCTACCCTGCTCCTGATACCTCATTGAAATCCATCTATACCATGTTGCCTGTGGGAGATGGCAAATGGCCAAGCTGGGGACCCATGGGACCTATTGAGATCTATTTGATGCATTTATTTACATTTTTAATTAAAAACAACCTCTAACTGGCTTGGAGTCATCTGTTTGTGCACACAGCTAATCTATGTAATTGTGTGTTCCCAGCCCTATTACTTTCCTCTTCCAATCTCCATTCCGTCCTTTTTCTTTATTACACCAATTTGAAGTGCATTTTCTTGGATGAAATAAGGGATCATTACACTATCTAGTCTGATCCTCCGCATAACACACTTTGTCCAGCAATTCTGGGCTGTAAATTGTATAGGGAGGGGCTTACACAGCTCTTGTTCTGACTTCGAGGGGCCTGTAAGTACTGCTGTAATATTAATTGTATTATTATTTAGTATGTTCTCCCTTGCTTTTTTCCCTTTCTAACTATCCCAGGCTCTCCCCCTCTTTTTCTAGTGCTTGCTGCAGTCTCTGTTTGTATTTTGTACCCATAACAACATTAGCTAGATGCTTGATGGATGCTTTCAATATGCTGCTTGTAACCTTCTTGAGCTGCTTTCCAATTACACATCTCTCTGCTTAATTTCATCCATCAATCTTCTGTTTTGTGTGTGCGTGTGTGTGCGCACATGCCCCCTCTGGAGGAGCGGGGTTTGACTGTTTCTTGTCTTGTCTGTGGCTGGAGCCATAAGTATCTGACTGTTGCTCAGAGCATCTGGTGCAATTGGCGCCATCACAGCTGACCGCCACCAGCCTGTTTAACTCCCAGAAGAGTTTTTGCTATCAAAATGCAATATTAACAAAGGGCAGCTCTAATTTTGGAAACAGCCCAAAATTTCCACGCCTGTAAAATAAGCTCCGTTACATCTACACTGCAATGGCATGGCCAGTATGCGTTACATCTACCATTTGCAATGGCGTGGCCAGTATGCGCTTCTATGAGCTGCAGCGAAAAAAAAAATCACATGCCCATCTGCAGTATGGTATGTTGCAATATTAACAAAGGGCAGCTCTAATTTTGGAAACAGCCCAAAATTTCCACGCCTGTAAAATAAGCTCCGTTACATCTACACTGCAATGGCATGGCCAGTATGCGTTACATCTACCATTTGCAATGGCGTGGCCAGTATGCGCTTCTATGAGCTGCAGCGAAAAAAAAAATCACATGCCCATCTGCAGTATGGTATGTAATT